GAAGGTCACAAGGATCAAAGCCTCGGCGATGTAGTATTTGCGGAAAGACCGGGCATACTGCAAGGACCTGTCAAGAGTCAATTGAGGTTAATAGGGAATAGTCTAGCGATTAATTTTAATTGATCAGATATGTTGTGGTGTTTTATTTCTCTTTCTGAGTCTTCACGTGTAGATTGGTGGAGCACTCGCTTGTCTGGAGCACTCGCTTATCATGCACGTTATGAGAGATCGTCAATCTGCATTACCTAATCAACAAGGATATTGCTTACGCCCCTCCTAATTTAGTTTAGGCAGATGCACAGCAAAGATGAAACCTGCTTGATGTCACAATTTCCCAATAAAAAAATTGAGGCCATCATCATCGCCATGTCTGAGCATCAGAGATACGCGGGCGGAGGCTCATCTCCAGTTGAAGCAACCTCGGCGTCGGATAGTAATCCCGTTCAGATCATCTTGACACCGCCTACGCCAATCGTCTCCACTGGAAATTTTGACCGACGAGGGGAAGACACGTTCAAGGAAGTTCTGCCTGCCGTGTCTGAGGAGAAAGAAGTTGTTCAGAAGATAGATGGATCTGACGAGAAGGAAGTTTATGTTGTAAACGAGGGGCATGATGAGAAGGAGGTCTATATGCCCGCCGCGGAGAAAGAGGTGTATGACCATGGGCTCGAGAAGGAAGTCCACGACTTGAGGATCCATGATGGACATGATGAGAAGCAAATCTACGATACAAGCGAAAGTGTTTCTCAAGTAAAACGTATCGACTCACCAGAGAAAGAAGTTCTCACTCAGATAAGCCACGAGGATCATACAGCGTTCTATCATCCAGATGGCTCGGTCCAGTCTCTACCAACCCAGGACAAAGAGAACGGAGCGTCTATGGCGGCTAAGAACTACAACAGCAACGCGAATGAACGAAGAGAGAGTATCTCAACCGCATCCACTGAAACCTCAGAGAAGAAAGGCAGCTCTGCTCGGGGTTACTACCAACGCCACGTCAACAAATGGAATCAAGCAGTCGACAAGAAGAAGAAGGCCTGGACAACCTTCACCAACAATTCCACTACGGCTATGACAGAGAAGGCCAATCAAATCGACAAGGGGTTCAAAGATCGCTGCACAGCATTCGAGAATGGCACTACAACTAAACTGAATCAGCTTGATAGAAGTATCAGCGATAGTGTTGATCGAGCTGGAAAGAATGTCAACACCAAGGTTGCGAATTGGAAGATGGGTATGGGAAATATGAAGAGCCAGAGCATGAACAGTGTCAAGACCTTAGGATCTCGATGTCAGATTGGTACGAAGGAGGGGAAGAAAGGGGAGGAGGCACAGCGATAAAGATGATTCGAATCGCTTGGGAGTTCCGTGTCGATTTCAGTTGTGTTTCAGCTTTTGTTTCTCATTCAATCTGCTCATACACGATAGCGAATTCATTGGTCTTAGCATTGCAACATATCCATTCACTATCGCATCCTAATACCACTCAAGGCCGTCATATGTTCCATCTAATTTGCCGTTCTCATCAAGCTTGATTACCGCCTCTTTAGTCCTCCTTGTCATGAGCTTAGGGTACTCGGGCGATGTAACTGGAGGTGCTGGGAGGGTTGTATTCTGACGGACCCAAGCCACACCGCGGGCTCCATCAACGGTTTTGACGGCATCGCGCAGGGTAGCTATGTCGAATTCTTCAAAGGCCCCTCCTAGCACAACGGCGCGGGGAGCATTGTCGTAATTCCCGGAACCGATAGCGCTGCTGTCAGGATGAGATGGCGGACTTTTACCGGCGAGGAGAGCTGGTATGATGACTTGTCCGGAGTCTCCAGGCAAGATGAATTGAACGACTAATGGTATTAGTATTGGAGGTGCACTGGTGCTAATTTCTACCTTCAATCTCTGGCTTGAGAGCTTCAATCACTTTTTGACCCATAAATTCAGTTTTTCCACAGAGGATGATTGGGATTGGATTCGTTTCCGACATTCTGGTTGCTATCGAGATGGAGTTTCAAGGGTAAGCAGAAATAGAAGTGACCCTGCCTGGATGACCGCCAGAGTTGTATTTAAACCAGGTTCAGGCCAAGCTTCAGACCCCAACCTAAATGCTGACGCGACGTGATCATGAGGGGTAAGACCTAAACCGCAAGCATAGAATATCATGTTCCTTATTCTGTTGTGCTACTCATTGAAGCTATTCACGAATATTCATGTGCCTGGACTGTGAATACCTCGGGAGTCGTCCCAGACGGGGCTTTAGGTTCTCGGAAGGTTGAGATGCCGAAGCACTACGAAATATGCGGAAAAGTGGCCTCCACTGTAATTTACCCGCCCAAAGCGCTGGGTACTGTAGATCAGCGATAACCAAAAACCACAAATACGGGCCTCATAAAAAAATCTACTGGTCTCAAATGACGTTATTGGTGGTCGACCCATCGATCATTTCAGTCATCACAATCATCGACTGCAAGGGTGAGGAAAAAAAAAAAGAAAAGATCAGCTGGATTGAGCCTGGGCGGCAAGGGATAAACGTGCGTGTGGTGATCACTCTCCTTGCTGTATGTATGTCAGACGCAAGGGCCTTCCGTGTGATATTAAGCCACGCGATAATCACGCCTGTCATGAGGGGGAAAATATCTTCATCGGAGGGTTTATTCCCTAGCCATATTGCGACGCTTTGACTCTCGTATCTTATTATGGTTAATGACAACGGTAATGGCGGTCATTGGAATGTCCATTGACGTTGACGCTTAACGTCCACTGGTGATTACCTACTCTACCGCCAAATTGGTAATCTGTTCGTCTGCCGCTTTGCCTTGTAGGAAATGACATATCGTGTCTCACTCCCGAATCGACGTGTTCCCCCGACTGGGGTCACACCATGCAGCCCTGCAGCGAGCCAAGTCCACTGAGAAGTGATAGCTTCGGCATTCCCTTCAGCTTTCCTTTTGTGAACAGAAACGGAAGTCTTCAGATTCAGGTACGAATAGAGGCGTACGTCATCCGCCTACTAGCGACGCCCCTTTCACGATGGCGTCGTGACGGGAAATATTCCGCCAAGTTATCTAAACTGCGGCACAGTGAAGCTACCAGCCGCTTGGACGAGTACCCGGCTCAAGATCACCAGTTAAACTCTTCGATACGATTATGCATCGTGATCCTTCCCATGTCAACGGCGCTGCCCAATGTAACCATGTCGGTAGAGACTAACAGTTCATGTCAGGAACACACTAGCTCAACCCGCTAAATTAGCTCTCGTTAACTTCCGTCCCCCAAATCACACCCAGATCACGATCTTGAAGAGCTTCCCCTTTCACCGCGATCGGGACCTGAGCGTTGGGACACAAACCGCCATTGGACAGTAAAGTTGATCGACCAGTTCCTCAGAAGCTAAGATTGGCGTTACTTGGAAAATGACGGCTCATATTGACAGGCAGGGGACTTAGGTAGGGATGCAACACGAAACGGAACGAAACGAAACAAAAGGCAATCGACACCCTTTGCCCGGGCGTATACCAGCCACTCAATGGAACATGTCATTGTCTCATTCTTGCTTTTCCATCTGAGTCGTGGCTTATTACGCATTCGCGCTACCGGCAGCACTGCATCATAGGCAGTTACGTACAGTATTACGACATGGTCCCTTCGAAAATGCAGACTCAACATCTTAACCTCGTTGACGACGAGATGGATTCTCAACCTCCACCCATTCCCCTGCGAGCGCAAACACCAAGACGACAAGTTGCGATGAAGCAAAGGTATTTTATACCCCAATTGGGTAATCGAGAAGCAACACTGACAGTTTAGCTTTGAGACGCAGGATTTAGGCGACGGAATGGCAAATTTCGACCCAGAGCTTTTACAGGCACCGTCATCGAGAGCCTCGAGCCGAGCCATGTCGTACCGAACGCAAGAATCGCAAATATGGTCACATAAAGATAGAGATGCATCGTCAATCTCGTCTGTATACGTTCCTACACATCTTCCTGCGCTGCAAGCAAAAGGCGCTGGCCTGGATCGTGATGGGTTGGAGCCTTTGACCGAGGAGGAGTATGACCCCGCGTCGTTCGACCTCGTCGTTCCGGCGCATGCGATGGGAAAGCAGTATACCCTCGAGACACAGTCCGAGCTGCTTTTCTCAGTGAAGCATCTGTCTGTCATCTTCGACGACCCTGTTCTTCTGCAGCGCTTCACGAACTTCCTGTCTGCGTCGCGGCCGAGTTCAGTGCCCCTCTTGACGTACTACCTCGACACGCTCAAGGCGATGAAGGCAATTAATTACGCCAATTCGCTGACGGGATCGCTCAAGACAATTGATGGCCATGATTTCACAGCCGATCCCGTCACTGCGACTGTCAACGAGGCATTGGCGAAGCGGGCTACCGAGGCTTTCCAAGCCATGGTGAACCATGATCTACCTGCATACATCACCCATACATATATCCAGACAGTCAGCATCACGATCAAGAGAAGAATAACGGACACACTGGCACCTCAATTGCGCGACCTGTCGGAAGGTCTGGCAGAGGTGTTCTGTTTGACAGACCCTTCGAGGTCCGACAACCCAATTGTTTTCGCAAGTGAAGGTGAGTTACCCCTCGACATAACCGTGTCGCAAATGCTAACATGATCGCAGAGTTCCACAGAACAACTCAATATGGTATGGACTATGTCCTCGGCCGCAACTGTCGCTTCCTTCAAGGCCCCAAGACGAACCCATTCAGTGTCAAGAGAATCCGAGACAAGCTCGCAGCCGGCCAAGACCACTGCGAAACATTCCTCAACTACCGTCGCGATGGATCCCCATTCATGAACTTGCTCATGGTCTCTCCGCTGTACGACTCTCGTGGCGTTGTGCGATACCATCTCGGTGCCCAAGTCGACGTCTCCGGTCTCGTCAAGGAATGCGCTGGCCTGGACTCACTGGAGACACTGATGGCGGATGAGAATCCCGAGAACGAGCGCTACCCTGGCGAGTCGGAGCAAAGAAAGAAGAATGAGGAGAAAGACGAGTTCCAAGAGTTGGCTGAGATGCTTGATCTCGCAGAGCTTAAGACTGTTCGCGAAGCAGGCGGTGCATTCCACCGCACGCATCAGCAGGATGTTCGACAAACAGATGCAGTTCCTGCGAATTGGAACAAGCCTCGCCTGGTCTTCCGCGACGATGCCACCATCAATCGACGCCCTTCAGATCCCGTCCTCCACGACACAGCCATGTCAAGCTTCAGCGGTCGTCTCAGCGGTATCTACAAGCACTACCTCCTCGTCCGACCCTACCCCAGTCTTCGCATTCTGTTTGCCTCGCCGTCCCTCCGCGTGCCTGGCATGCTACAGAGTTCATTCCTCTCCCGCATTGGTGGCTCAGACCGCGTCCGCGAAACCCTCACCCAGGCCTTCGCGGGCGGTAACGGTCTCACCGCCAAGATCCGATGGCTCTCCAAGGCAGAAGTACAGACAAAGAGCCGTAACTCTCGCGCCATGGATCATTCTGCCAGTGGGGATGGTGGTCAAGCTCCTCCTGCAAGCCCAGGCCGTAACCGCTGGATTCACTGCACGCCCTTGTTAGGTTCAAATGGAGCTGTTGGTGTTTGGATGGTCGTTCTTATTGATGATGAGTCGGATCAGGCTTTCATTCGCGGTTTGAGGAGAGAGGCCCCTCCTGTGCAGCCGCAGCCTGTTCAGCAGCAGCAGCCACAGTCGTCGCATGAGCTGTATGGCGACGATGATAAGATGAGTTTGAGTAGTTTTGCCGCTGCGCACAGGAATATCTGAGGGAGGTGACGGACCAGGGCTTGTGAGAGTAGATTTATGAGTACACGAGCATAAGCCTGGAAACTTTAGGGCCATGTAGTTATATTAATGATACCTTCTTTTTTCTTTCTTTTGTAAAACTGCCCTCATCCTGGTGGGGTCTTCTCTGACCGTCTCATTAATGCCCATTAAGCAAGCTCATGACCCACTGCAGGCCACCTTGCCATTCTTCCAGTGGTTTTCTATACGAGTTACGTCAGAGACCCTTCCATGACATGCCTAAACAGATTTAGTGAATCCTTTGACAGTTTTGACAGTTTACGCGGCCCGAGCCGGGCGGGAACCTACTTAATGTTGTTCTGGAAGCTGGAATGCACCGTTGATGTTAGACTGTCGTAAGCGGTGATGAGTTATGAAGGATGTCAGCGACAGGACGGTCTTGAATTGATCCCAAAGACAACCTTCTTACAAATAAATAATGCCTGCATACCGAGACATGCCCGGCATGACCTGACTTCTGAAGAGATTGTTCACTAATCCGTATCGTTTACCCAATTCCATGACCCTCGGGGACCTCCAACAAATACCCCGACAATTACCTTGCATAGCCATCAAATCGACTTTGTAATGTCAATCAATCATCATCGCGCCAAGTCAAACACCATCATCCTGACACGTGAGATTGCGACATATACCCCGCGGATGGTGATGGAGCCGTATGCCCAAACTGGAAAGGAGCGCCGATGATATAACGTTAGTGTAACATGCGTATTCAACGAGTATAAAAGGTATTATACAGATGCCACCGACTCTGATTCGGGATATCCAATTCAAAAAATACTCCCAACCTCATCAAGCCTTTTATCAACTCACCCAAACATGTCTTCTTCAATCGTCCCAGAGTATGAGGCTGCGAATGAGCAGTATGCCGCAGCATTCAACAAAGGAGACCTTGCTCTCCCTCCCTCCCGGTATGGTATCCGAGTTCTGGATCTTCTTCACAAGCTAATAATTCATAGTCACGTCGCTGTCGTTGCTTGCATGGATGCTCGTCTTGACCCAGCTCAGGTTCTCGGGATCGAGCTTGGCTCCGCCCACGTAATCCGCAACGCTGGCGGTCGAGCTGCAGATGCTCTCCGCTCTGTCATCATCTCCCAGCAGCTCCTTGGAACCCGAGAGATTGTCATTGTTCATCATGTTGGTTCTTAATTTCCGTCTAAACTGTTCGTGACTGACCTGTTATAGACTGACTGCGGCATGCTCACCTTCTCTGATCTGGATCTCAAGACAAAGGTCCGTAAGGATCTTGGTGAAGACGTTGATCACATTGCTTTCCTTCCTTTCGGAGACCTTGAACAGAGTGTCCGTGACGATATCGCTTTCTTGAAGAAGAGCCCTCTTGTTCTGGATGTTCCTATCACAGGCTACATCTATGATGTTAAGTCTGGCAAGATCAACAAGGTTGATGCTTAAATTTAGCCTATGAAGAGGAATCGTTGGGAGTTAGGGAGTTAGTGGGGTGAGCTGTTTGAGATGATACCAGGTCGTGGCGTCGTGATGATGTGTTCAGGGTGATATCGCAGAGAGTTCAGATAGTAATCTATTATGACTATCCTCTTATAAGTAGACTTAATGACCGTGGTAGGGCCCAAAGATTGAAAAGTAGAAAGGTAGAATCGGCCCAGCAGGCTTCTAATCGAAGTTAAACAAATGAAATGTGACATATGAGACAGCATGTGTATGATCCATGATTAATCCTTCACTGGTCAACGTGAAGATCTTCAATGATCTTGTCAGCGGCTGCAAGAGCGAAACAGGCAGCGGTGAGAGTAGGATTGCAAGCATTCTGAGTGGGAATGATACCACATCCTCCAAGAACAAGGTCATTGATACCCCAAGCCTTACCGTTCTTGTTGACAACACTGTCGGCTGGGGTGCTTCCTGCGCGGTACGTGCCACAGATATGGAGGGCGGAACCGGGAGCAAGATACTTTGGCTCTGCGCCAGGGAGGAACCCTCCAAGTTTTCTAGCCACCTCAATCATACTAGAAAAGAGTTAGAGATCAGTTCTGGGCGCTTTCAAAATGCACTTGAAGGACTTACTCGGTGATCATTCGCTTGCAACGCTCCTCAGCCTCCTCGTCCAAGACAAAATTGAAGGTTGGCTGTTTCAGAAAGTCAGCCCCGACGCTTCATGTGTGAGAGAGGTGAGAGGTCTGGCTCCACTTACCTGAGGCATCCCAAACTGGTCCTTGGTCTTGTTAGAAAATGTAACGCAGTTTTCCTGATCAGGTTTCATGTAGCCAAACCAGCGAAGATCAACCACAAGACGTTGATCAATGTTGGATGGGACTTCTCCATACCCAAAGGCATCACGGTGGATCTGAGTATGCCAAGGATATTTCTCGGACAGCGGGAAATAAACCTGAGGGTCCGGGTCGTTGAACGGGAAGGGGAGAGGATCGTTGTCATGACTTTCTCTGTGCGCTTTGACAATCTCCTCGCCCTCGACGCTGTCGACCAGCTTCCTATCGAGAACGACTTGACAGAATGCCATTGGCTGCTCAGTCAGATAGTGACCCTGAGAAACGTGTTTATTAGCTCAACGCACGGCTACATGGCTCACGAGAGATCTCACCAAAGCTGGAAGCTTCGACTTGAGTCCAGACTTGTGAAGAATACCTGGAGTAAGAACAGCTCCAGCACAAACGACATACTTCTTGGCGTGAATGTAGTACTGCTGGTTTGTTTCAAGATCATTGATCAATGCCCAAGCAATTTGACCGTCAAGGTCCAGTTCCAGCTTGTCGCACTGAGTGTTAGGTCTCATATCGAAGAGTCGCTCCTCACCCTTATAAAAATACTCAGGCTTGGAAAGCTCGCCGAGAATGGTAGCAGTGCAAGACCACTCGACGTACTCCTTATTGTCATGTTTCCGCTTGCAAGCTAGGGGCATGCTCTTCATCTCGCGATCGGGGTAGGCGTCTGTAAGCACACGTTTGACGAGCTTTTGGCGGACCGAGTCGTCAAAAGCATCGTCGGTCTTCGTAAAGAGCTTCTCGGCCCGGCCATAGAGAGTGTCCCATTCACCATCGCTAAAGAGGTCAGAGCGTTCGATCCCCTTGTGCTGTCGAGGGGTGCAGCAAGTCCAGTGAGATCCCATACCGCCGACAACACGAGTCGCAGCTGCAGCTGGAAGGTTACCATAGGACTTCTGCAACGGGTTCTGGCCGTTGAGTACGTAGGCTGAGTCAGTGGGTCTAGGCGTATTAACACAGTCTCTATCAGGAGATGAAGTAGCCTACCGAGGAGCCCATGAAGTTGGTTCCATGACAGGTCGTGCTGAGTTGGTTGGTACAGACAGAAGGTGAAGTTCTCCCTGAACATTCAATGAGTTGGTGTCTTTCATGAAAGTTGACTTAACATACCTTCACTGTGCTGAAAGACGTATTAGCCTCGACAAGTGCTCTCGTGTTAAATTTGATAGACTTACTTGGTAAACAAGCTGATATCCTTCTGAACTGCAACGCTGTTCTTCTTATGATCACCGATGCGTCGAGTTTCCCTAATTCACAGTGAGCCTCTATGTTATCTTCGAATTGAAATAGCTCACTGCTGGCCGATATCAATCATCGTAACTTTGATGCCTTTCTTGACAAGTGTGTGGGCGAAGGTGGCACCGATTGGACCAGATCCGACGATGAGTACATCGGTCTCCTCCCAACGAACGGTGTCGCTAGCAGAACTAGGACTGGGGGTAGGCTTTTGGACCATGATTGAAAAGAGCGACGGAAAGAGTGACGAAAGGCTGTAAAAGGTTTTCGGGAGGTCTAAAGAACTGATGATGATCCATAATGAGACTGGGAGCAACGTTCTTATAGTTTACATCATCATCCATCGTTTCTTCCCTCGTGATGTTCTCTAGTCAGACATAGAACACCAAGACCTACGGCCAGCTGAAAATGTGATCGTGGCGTGAAGGTCATCACATATCTGAAGACTCCGCCGCACTGGTACTCCAAAGGAACTGACAGCGAAAAGCGAGACTGTTGAGATACCCATGTCCGTATTCCCTTTGCAAGTGAGCCCAATTTTTCCTGTCGGTCAGGCAACTAGAGACATTTATACAGGCCTCTCCAGAAAGAAGTTCCTGAGGCATGCCAAGGTTAGAGGGGGCTGGCTGAAAGGTGAAACATTGTGCAAAGAAAGCTGGTGGAGATTACGGACTAAGCCAGAGCATTCCGAATAATACGTTCCCCAAGATCTTAGTGTAGGCCACACTGAAATCAGCATCGCCTATTGGTCTAGGACATGAACGACATATGGAATATTGCACGTGGTTATCTTCATCAACTTGAGATGTGATAGAAAGGTCTCTGGGGATATGACCTTTTCAAACAGACTGTACCCAACCAATACTGTATTTGAGACTTTCGGAATGATGTTGCGAGGACCGAGCGCCGAGCGGTGAGCAAGGGTAGGGGCAGATTCAAGAATCTACCCTTGCAAATGATATCCTGAATAAGAACTTTTAATAGTATCGACAAATTACAGGAGTTTCTTCACAAAATTCCCATAGAGCCCATAAGACCTAACTCAGACCCTTATAACATGACCCAAATATCCTTCAAAGGAGCGACCAAAATTGCGTTAATGTCAAATAATAAAAAAGACTATCTTTAGGTTTGTTCCCGACTTTGGTAGATAGGATTAGTGGTGAATCCCAAGTTCAGACTCTGCCAATTCCACAGCATAGCAAGATCACCCAGCTCAGCCTCAGAGATTGTCTGCCATCCCATCTCGAACTGGGGCTGCCCATCAGTGAAGCTCTGAATGCTACTGATAACATCACCAGGCCAGGGCTGCCCATTTGGTGCAGTGGGGTTCAACTGCTGAGCGTACGTGTAGTTCTGGAACCGATGGTCATGAATATCCTGAGGAAACGGCATTAAAGGCTGCTGACCAGCCTGCATTCTGCCAGGAACCACTGGAGGCAGATTGTTGTATGGTTGGTATTGATCAACGGGCAGAGCATGCTGCGCAGGTTGAGCCAGCACCTGTGCCGGAGCTGGTGCGATTTGGGTTAGCTGAGAGCTTGGAAGTCTGGCAGCTGCAGGAACTGGAATAGCACCGTTGCCCCCAGGTGGTTGATCGAATCGACGCTTCTTATGAGCATCAGTTGCCTGCATCCCGGCGGTCGACGGCAGTTTCTTAATCAGCCGGCGTAACACGTCATAGGGAGCTTTGGCTGTGTTGGTAGCGGTGCGCAGCTTCTTCAGAGTCGCAAAGGCCCTGGCAATTGAGCCGATGACTTCCTCGCGACGTGGTACGACGCCATCTTCGGCGTGAATGATGACTGAGCAGAGGAGCGCTGCTGTGTCGAAGATACAGAATGGCACAAAGTGGAAGGTGGTGTCTCTGGTCCAGACGTACTCGAAGAAACGATGTACAGCTTCCATGAGACGTAGGGCGTAGTCAATGCCTGTCTCTCGGAACTCGAGATCAACAGGAGGTGCCGTTGACCTCTTCATCGACTTGGCCATGTAGCCTCTGAAAGGGCCAAGAGCAATGGAGAGGGTGCAAGTATGCATGTAGTGACGATGCAGGGCAATCCACGGCAGATCCTGGTTAGCAGGTGTATTGGGGTGATCCAGAGCATACTCAGGCGGAAAGGCCTTCATGAAGCCTTCCAAAATGGCCTGGTAGTCTCGAATCTCATCAGGCTCAGTCAGAATCTTCGGTGGACCAAAGCGTTTGAATATGAGGCTGACAAGTTCTGACTGAAGCTTGAGGTGCAGCATGGGGGAGGCTGGGTAGTCTTCGAGGGTAAGACTTGGAAGGCCTACGTCGCATTCCGCACGGTCGATGAGCATTGGACGAGCCAATAGTGATGAAACAAGCCTGTGATCAATTAGCATGCATGGAGTTCAGGTTGTAGGCAGCACCTACCAGTCCCAGGAGTCAACGATACACCATAGTCGTCTCTTCATCTCCAGCTCGAACCCTGGCAGTTGGCCTTCGGGCTTTTTATGAAGATCTGGACAGTAGTTAGCAATATGCTACTCAGTCAATAACCATTGGCTTACCAATCATCTGCGCTTCTCGTACAACAGCGCCCAATACCTGCCAGCACTCTGCAAATCGTGCCTCAGCCTTGAACCAATAGCACGAATGCAGCAGGTACTGGACTGTGTAAACATGCCCGTGGCCAACAGGGATGGCGCTGTGAAGCTCTCGAGCAGCATCGTGATACTTCTGCGTCAGTTCCTTGACAGATTCACCAACATCACTTTCGATCTTGGCCCGGAGTTGGCCATCGACATGCTGCACGGAACAAGCGCAGACCATGAGTAGCAAGCATGTCCACTGGACGCCGCAAGTTCGACCTTTGGTGTAGTCATCCCACCAGCGGGCGTACTCTTTGCTGAAGTAGGGCGGGTATACGATGTAGTAGTAGAAGTTGACCACATCAAGAAAGCTCTGGACTAGGCAATCTGCTAACCGTAAGATAATAATCACGCGATAGTATTGGTGGTCTTACCAACGACGTGTCTCGGAGGTAACACGTCCAAAGCACGCTGCAATTGGGCGCTGTTCTTTGGGTCAAGTCTGTACTGTTCAGAAGGCTTTGTACTTCCTGACTGTGCGATGTGAGCAAGGACGTGACAGCGAGGAGGGGAAGACTTACGTCGTGGTCAAGCTTTGTCAACAAATGAAGACGACTGTATCCGATCGCTTCCAAAACGTCACCAACATCTGAATCACTGTCGTCATCCTGGCCCGCCTGATCCCTCTTTCTCTTGACCTCAACAGAGGCGGACCAAGCATCATCACTGGAGTCAGCCTTAAAATCATCCCTGAAACGGCATTGGTCGGCGACTTTTCGCTTCTGGCAGTTGTTACAGGGCCATTGACGGTTGCATTTCTGCTTGCGCCGATGACACTCTGTACAGGCGGAGCGTAGGAGGCCTTCTGGTTGGGCGATAGCCTCTAGAGAGGACTTCCGAGAATCATCGGGCATGGTGATGTAGCGATGAGTCGGACGTGCAGAACAGAGGGCGGGGCATCAGATCTTGGGTTTATCTAGGTTTATGTTTAGTGATCTACGATCGATGGCTAACCCCGATATGGTAGGGATCCGCGCTGTGTAAGGGTCGGAAAGGGGGCTGCGGAGACGGAATAACGAAAACAGGTGCAATAATGTTTTTCCATTAGGTGAGGCTTGCTATGTCTCAGTTGTTTGGCTATTGGACCCTGTCTTTTGATGCAGGGTGAGTGAAAAGCAACGAGAAAAGAGGGGTGATATGGAGTAGGCTCTGAGCAGTGAGCAAAACAGGACTGGCCGTCACACAGGGCAATCCACAAAATGATATCGTAGAATCAAATGGTCATTCTCGTTCGATCCGTTCTCGTGTCCTGGAATACCCTCCGGTGTAGCCTATTGGCTTTGGACTCGAATCCCGCCATTAAGTTACACAATTTCAGGACATCATGGCTGGCCTGATCCAGACGTCTTCCCATAGAACCAACCCTATCTAATCAGTCTATTCTTAGCATCCAGAAGCCAGAATCCTCTCTATTATCCAAATAAGGCGGAGGAGCGGGATAGCTGTTAGTGAAGGGGGCATGCATGGCATGCATGTTCCCATCGGAATCGAACCAGACCTGTTTACAAGGTCTTGAGGGCCCAGGCGCATCCGGGTCCTCAGGCCGAACATCTTTAATGATAGTATCGAAAACTCTCCTTGGTAGCGCAAAGGTGCACTCTTTGAACTTGGGTCTGCTCTTGACAAACTGCATCAGCCTGTTGACAATTATATCGTGCACCTCAGGGTTGGAGATACGATGCTCATTGTACTCCTTCTCAAATGAGATGCAAAGTCTCCGAAGTTTAGGGAAGCTTGTGATTGACAGCGTATTCAGCACAACGCTCATCTGATCAATATCTAGGTGGTATGGATGGACCAGCCTGCGTATAGCGTTTGTGTGCTCGTCGTGATGTCCAGCACAAGCTTCATTTTCTCTCTGAAGAGGCCATCTGATTTCGAGAGAAGTGACTGCAGTAAGCCTCTGAGGGAGCACCAACTGCCCGATATGCGATATCATAGCTTCGCCAGACATGGCAATCGTGTTGCTCGAGTACAGTAGGTCAATCATCTCAGCATAACTGCAAAGCTCAGTCAGTATTCTCTTGGAGCTGTGCTCTGCTTTCGATTCCTTACTTCTGCCGACATGAGAGAAGCCAGCTCATCATACCTGTCTCCCCAAGCTCCATATTCCCATGCTTACAATCATCTTCCCAAAACCTTTGCTGGCCCCCAGGTATGCCTTGAAGCCTAAGTTTCTTCTTCCCCCGATGGCAGATGCCGCTGAACCACTGCCAAGAATCAACCTTCTCGTCATCAGATGTATGCTTTTGTCTAAAAGATAAACTCATGTGAAGACGACGATCACCAAAGGCCAGTCGCAGAATGTCCCGTCGAATATTGGGAGGAAGCTTGAACCATGGAGACTTTTGGAACAGCGGAACAGGCCTCTCAATCATTTCGCTAGGATCTTCATCCTGGAACCCTGGCGGTGTGAGGGCACGAGGCCGTGGGTTAGGCAACAACGTCAACTCGTCCACATGGTCTCTCCAATGAGGCAGAGAATCGTCCGCTTCATCAGGCCACCAGTACGATGGCGACATTGGTGAAAATGTGGGAGACGTTGGCGTGGACGGAATGTCTATGTGGTAATAATCCGACCACTGGTGCGGTGAGGGATATTGTTCTGCATCTTCTATCTGTCTCAGTGTTCTGCTCCAGCCTGATCGCGTCAGGCGGATGACAAGAATTGCACAGCGACGAACCTGCTCCCAGCATTTCTGGCTGATTTGGATCTGGGACCCGTCCCGTCTCTGGAGGATTATCCATTGTTGCTCCTCAGCGAAATGTGATGATGAAGGAGGAAAAAGAAAAGAAGATGACGATTGTTGCCTGCAGCGTTACATATGTTGATGGAGAGCTGACGGTGCACGTGCTTTATCCTGCCAATGGGGTTTACATAATCCAACATTTGTTTCCAAGGCTCCCAGGGTAGATTGAGAGTCTTGATGAAATTATGACGAGATATAGAACGTGCAGATCATATCATCGGAAGTGTGCACAGTGAAAGAGGAGTTGTTAAAATACGCAGGTAGCTAATTATAACTCCATTCACTTTATTAAGATATCTCGCCAATTTGGACGGATGATCTTGAGATCAATGCTCAATGATTTGATCCAAACTGGAAACACTTCCAATGAGATCTCAGACATCATAGCTTCGGCTCAGGTTCTCTGGCCGTTGTAAGCAAAACTACCTCAGCATCTAGTGTCAGATCATGACTACTCACTTGTACTCATTTTTCATTTCCCTAAGTTTCTCCATGACGCTGACTGGGTCTGTCTCTCCAGTCGCCCTTTGGATGTCGGGATCCTATTTGGTCAGCGCAGAACTCTCAACATTGCTGATGTGAGGGCTTACATCCAGTCTCATGAACACATTATGTTGCTAAACAAAGAATATCAGTCAAGTGCTCGCAACCAAACCCATGGGACTTCTGCGCGACCTTTTCATGTCCTATCGTGTACTTGCCCATTGTGACGGGGTTTGCGTCAGAGAAGCTCAGAAGCTGCTGCACTGGTTTACTCTGTAATACAGAGACCGCGAACTTGGCATTGCTTCGAGTATACTCATGACCGGGCTATGTCGTCAGTCCAAGTCCTATGCAAAGTTGCCACTGGATCGGGTAACTCACAAATACGACTGTATCGTCTGGAAGCGATGCAAGATGCTTGTTGAGCGCCACATGCATCTCCTCTGCAGTCCCCTCGAAGAACCTCCCACATCCTGTCGTGTCTCTGTGAGAAAGTTATATATCTTGCAGATTTGGGGCAACTTACCGCCAGTGAACAAGGTGTCGCCTGTAAAAACTGCCTTTTGATCCCCATCTTGGAAGAAGAAACAGATGCTATCCTGCGTATGACATGGCGTATGTATACTAGTTATCGTGATGTTCCCAATCTTGAATGTCTCACCATGACCTGGAGTTTTCGTGACTCCTTCACAGTCCTTGCCTCCGATAATGTCCAGTTTGGGGTTACCTAGTGCAGCTAGCTAAGTCTTCTGGTTAGTCCCCATGGTCCAACGAGACACTATACGACACATACAATCTCTTCGTTTCCACCAGCGTGATCCCAATGACTAGATGGTGTTAGAGTGGAGTACTGTTGATCAAAGTTGACCGAACGACTGACTGGTGAGTGTTTATTACAGCGACAAGATTGAGTTTGTTCGACTGAATAGCTGCAGTGAGAACCGGAATGACCCTAGAGACTTTTTCAGTTGAGTAGTAAGTTAATCCAGATCAGCGCTTACTCTTCAGGATTTGCAGGGTCTATAATGAGAGCGTCGCGACTCTCATCATCGACAACCAGATAAGCCCAGTTGTCGTTGCTTCCCCACCCTGCTCGGAATCAGCGAGAAGCAGTAGACAATGGTTTGGCGGTCACATACACATGGGGATCGGCTGAATAAACATGTTGCAAAGTTGTTGGGTTGATAAGATAAGGGATGCAAGGCGATGATGTTATCTGCAACCGATAGTTTAGTGGTCTAGGTAATTTATAGTCTCTATATCTCTGCCCCTCATGTTGAGCTTGTGATGAAATTGCATCCATTCAGCCGAGGTAAGGTAATTAGAACAAAAGAGGAAATTTTTACAGAGGAGTTTAGTGCGAGACGACGCACTTCCGCCCCCGTCAGTGATTGGTGTACTAGGCTTATCAGCCGCTACTGAACTTCAGGTGTCAACGCGGCCAGCCGCTAATCTTTAGAGGCGCGACCCCTGAAACACTTATCTTCATCCGGTATAACAGGCACTGTTAGGTAATCAGTCACAGGGTCGAGCCTGGCATTTTGCGGGGTAAGAGCGCTGAATCTCAACTTCTACCAATCCTTATCTTGGACTTGAATTGACAGAACCCAACAGCCACGCTGTGACAGTATTTATTGTCATATTCACCATTAATACAACTCACCAAGATTAAGGATCGAGGAAATCGTTATTTTTATTGTTACTCTTCCATTAGAAAAATGCCGCAGCCCAGTCAGGGCCGAGTCGCTCGCTCCAGGGGCGGTTGCGTAACGTGCAGGTCAAAACATGTAAGCATCGGAACTATCCCCGTACTTTCAATGTATACTCATCCATTTATAGGCAAAATGTGACGAAGCAAAACCGACTTGTAAGTCATGCGCTGCACGTGGCCAGAAATGCGGTGGATACCGCTTGGATGTTCGATGGTCTACCAAGCATGAGAAGCGCACTCGACAGCCTCAATCGCGACCCCGTCAGTCGCGAACAGAGGATTTACCTTCGGCACGGTCCACGGAAGCTCAATCAGACACACATTCCCAGGTCTCATATAGATCAGAGAATGTGCCTGTGGCTGGCAGAGACTCCATAAACTCGGCAGCAGCGAGTATTCCTAATGATTTTGACCCAGCCGCAAACGCGTCGGTCTTTCATCTCAACGGCATTGTGTCACCCTTGTTCCCGATGTCTGCAGACGGCGATTTATTCTCACATCCGCTGGAACATGAAAACGAGGAAACAAGTCATACTTTTAGTGGCACCGACAACGAAAACCACCACGCTTACTCTCTATCAAACATGACGTCCTCCGTATCGCCCTTGCAGTGGGGAGACGATTTCTTAGGCTCTGTTCATAGCGATAACGACCTAGTTTCGGCTCCAGAAACCCTCTCTATTCCAGTTGGCAGTATGGCCTTTGACTTCAACATGCCCTTACCGACAGTCGACCCTGGTAGGCTGACCTTCGAAATGACACCAAATGCAGTCACCTATACACCATCTGTCCTCATCGAATACTGGTTTCGCCATGTCTGTTCTCTCTGGTCCAATTACGATTCCGATGTCAACCTTAACCGCACAATTGCTGCCGCATTATGGTCCAACTGTGAGCTCGTTTATCTCAGTCTCCAGGCTATGTCGGCCGCCCACTTGTCCGCTAAAGTGCCAATGATGCGACAAACATCGATAACGAACATGAAGGCAGCGGCCGAGATTATGAGAGCTGACTTACATACCGTTAAGTCCCACCAACTCTTCAATACAGTACCTGCAAGTCTGTTGTTCTCTTTGATGGGAATTGGGACCAGCATCTGCTGGCTCAATGCCACTCAGCTGGGACTGCCATTTCTCTGCGAAGCAAAAGCCATCCTTCATGCTGTTAACAAAAACAAGCACGCATTATCTGAAGAACAACGCCAATTGCTATGCTTCTTCAATAAGAGTTGGCTCTACTGCGAAATGCTATTGTCGATGGTGACATCGAGCTGTAAAAGCCTACAGAAGATGGAAGAATTGGGTGACGTCGAGGAAGCTGTTCCTGTCACTGCGCCTGTGACGGCAGACCCAGTCGAACAGGTTCCGCACCCGTGGACAGGAGTCTCAAGCGACAGCTATAAACTGTTCATGCGGGCAATGAAACTTTGTCACAAATTTAGACGCAAGATTAGGAAACCACAAGATATGTTTGCATCAGCCAACATCAGCGCCGCCATGCAGCTCATTGAAGAAGCTGCCGTGGTGGAGAAGCAAACTTGCGATCTTGACGTGGAATTTCGCGAGACAATTGGAGAGACAAATGACAAGAAGACGCCTAACCAGCACCTCTTCAACGTTGCCGAAGCCTACCGCCAATCAACCCTGTTACAATTGTACCAGACCTTTCCAGAACTCATCGTAAGACGACACGAGCTGGACGAGTCACAGGCGAAAGATGCCCCAGCTTTATGGGATAACTGGATCACCCCAATTGCACTTAATCTGGTGAGCATACTAAAACTGTTACCCACGGATTCGGGTAGTAAAATGACCCAGCCACTGCTCTGTGTCTCAGCCAGCACTGGACTAAGGCGAAAACACATTGAAGTCAAGGCCGCTACTCCAAAAGACATTCCCTTTAGCCAAGATGCCAGTCTGGAGGATTGCGACATGATAAATTATCTTGACTTCGCTGGCCTTCACGATGAGCTGCCAGATGAGTCCGAACCAGAGCCGGATCCAGATGCAAATGCGGGAATCATGGCTGCCAGGCAATTTCTTCACAATCGTCTGGACACGCTGAAGACCGTCCTACCACCAAAGCCAGTGGTAGTAGCGCAAGATTTGACCAAAGCTATCTGGCAAGCATATGACATGGAGCAGTGCGCGAAGTATGCGACGCACTGGATAGATGTGATGGATAGTCGGAATTTGAAGTCGAACTGGGGATAGTGTAGTCAATATATATTTGCAATGATATGATTAATTTTTACACTCGGAACTAAGTAATCCTGCATAGCGTACAATATACTTCGCTCGATCCATATTTCCAATACTACAGCTTAGGTGGCTTGCAGCACGACGAATCATTCATAGCCGCCAGCTTGCTAACTTTATCAGTGGTATCAAATCCAGCCTTCTTAGCAGCCACTTCACTGGGAGTGACTGAGTAAGAAGGAGGCACGTCCATGACTGGGTTACAGGTGAAGAAATGACGGGGCCTGAGCAAGAGTGTAATCGGCTCAGCGGGCATGACTGGGAAATCCTCTGGAGCGGGGAAATGCGTGATACCAAACGTGTGCCATAGGACGATATCAGTATTAGCGACGCTCTTGCTACCGTCGCCAATCCAAGCCCCGAGGCCTCTGGAAGGCTCACCGGATGTCTGAGCAACGTGGTTGCCAGCGGCCCAGAGCTGATCATCCGCATCTTAGATTGGTTAGCACAATGAATAAATACGTAAGGATGGAAAGTTTCTTACACTTGGTCACATGAACAGCATGACGAGCAAAAAATGCTCTCTTCCATACAAGAGAACCCTCCTTGGGCATCAAGTTCGGCACATCTCGGCTGACAAGCTTATACGAGACAGGCTTGCCACTCTCAGAGTTGAGCTTGTTCTCATTGACAATATCCCAGGAGCGAGATGTAGCACCGTTATAGTCAGTTATAGCCTGGCCTGTCGTCTCGAGTCTAGTGCGCTTAGCATAAAAGGCGTTTCCATAGAGGTTGTCTGGGCTGCCAACTGGGGCATCCGAAGGTACGGCATCAACCATGTGGACCGTGTTCTCGTGCCCGTCGATACTGGGGTTGATACGAAGAAGGAAGAGATGCTGGTGATTATGGGCGTTGACACCTGAGTGGTGATTAGTCTGAGGATTGGTGCTGTCACTCCAAGACTTACCCTTCTTGACTTGTGTTCCATAGCCTTGAAGATCCTCACCGGGGTTCATGACATAGGTGTTGAGGATACCGGTGAGCTTGATATCAGGCTGGATTGTTCCGTCCTGGTGGAACACCCACTATCTTCTGTTAGTAGTCTCTTCTTGATACTTAGCTGATGCAACATACTTGAATGGCATACTCGTAGTTGGCAGCAGTAAAGACATGCTGAACAATAAGCTTTCGAGCACGTGTGACGATAGTTGAGTTGTCTCGGAAGTCGGTGTGCTTAAACAGAATACCATCGTCTTCTTCATGGATGCATATGGCATTCTCAATCTTGCGGATCTGACCGGTCTGAGTTGGCAGCTCTGCATCGAGATAATGAATGGCACCTTTAGAGTTAGCTTGGTCAAATAGCTGGAGATTGAGAAGCAACATACCCTTGCAGTCACAGCCAAGTGAGAGACTGTTTGTCAGATAACCGGCACCATACTCGCCCAGATCGAAGGCATGCTTGCGGTGATGAGGAGGCTCGGGGTGACCACTGAGTATTGATGTTAGTGTGAGACTTGTCAAAAAGGGCGGCCGACGACGTACTAGGGAACGACCATCTCGGAAAGAGACATGCGATAGAAGATTGGCCTGACATTTCCCTTATCGTTGAAGGTGATGTTATTGAATACAATGCCCTCACGATAATTGAAGCCAATATGGAACTTCCAATTCTGCCACTCTAGTTCCCTTCCGTTGACATTGAACGAAACGCCCTCTGGCTGGGAGATGTAAATCGGCTTCAAGTCCTTTCTATAACCACCCTCCTTCTGGATATACAGATGATGATAATCCACCGCCTTGTTTCTCTGGAGAGGTCGTCGAACGCGAGGAATATCGATAGCGATAACCTCCTTCTTCCTGGGATCATAGATCGGATGGAAGTCAAGAGGATATTGGTATTGACAGTTATCGACATCTGGGCGAAAGTACATCAGGCCTTGGAACAAGCGTGTGCTGCTACCGTATCGAGTGTCGTGGCTGATGGTCCATGGGTCGGCGTAGACTTTGTGCATCTCGTCTGCGGCGATTCCGCTAATTCGGCATTGCTCGATAACTTGAGGGTCTTTGCGACACGCTTGTTCGACTTCGAGCATTTCTTCGACGATGAGCTGCAAGATAGTCATCAGTTAGCCAACTTCCCAATATGAGTATTGGGGGCGGTCTCACGATAGGCTGCTGTCCTTCAGCGCGCTCCCACTTTGTGATCCTTTGACTCTTCAAGTCAACGAGACCATCGTAGACATGGCCTTTCCCATCTCTGGGATCAATAATAACAACTTCAGCAACACGTCGAGGCCTGGCGCCGCTGGATGGATTGGCAAGCCAGGCGACCATCTCAGCCTTGCGCGGCTCCTGGAGCGTTATGACGTGGAAGTGGACTGCATCGCCATGCTCTTTGCGAACAATAGAGGTAGCGAGGCGAATTTCCTCTCCACTAAGAGGATCGAAAGGATGGAGGATTGAACCTGACATTGCGAGGCGTATTGATTCAAGATGTTTTGCTCAATGCTGATGCGAGTGCGAGATGCTCCAATTGAGGGCCTTTGGTTCCATCAAATACTTATTCAACAGTAGTATGAATGTGACAGGCAAACGTAATCGTAACTTGAGAAGCTCCAATCTTTGCCTATAATCAGTATGGGCTGATAATTCGGATCTGTAGACCCCGAACCCGGACTTCTTTGGGTAAATTATTGTACAGAATCGGGTGCCCGACACGTTCTACCACGATGGGCAAGCCGTCACCAAGTAAAGCTTCCCTCAGAGCTCTCCACCTCGGTCCCATTCCGTTCAGTATCAGGTGGGGAGCTTCCCCGAAAGATGGCTTGATCCTGCATACCTCAACGCTCAACTACCAGCCCCGCATACGTTTTGAAACTTGAAGATAGGCCTACTCAAGCTGGTCAACTAGTATGAAGCTCACCCAACTGCTCGCTTCCTTACACTTGCCCAACTCGGTAAGTGCTGCCTCGGCAGATGGAAAAGGTCAATTGGTTGTAGTGCCAAATCTTAGCGCAAAACCTAGGCTAGAGTTGCCAATCACGGTTAGTAGGTGACCAGGATTCAACAACAAACGAGAGGGATGCTGGCAGACTGAAGCGACTGGTTGTAAGTCAAACATTGTCTTATCATATGTGAGAGCAGGCCATGGTTCGATAACAGCAGACTTCACAACACAGTGTTTTAGGGTATGTCAAAGAAATGAATGATCTGATGTAGAGGCTGGCTATAGAAACTTGTATCCCGAGTCTAGAAATTTGCTTTGCCAGTAAAGCCTTCGTTCTGCACCAATTCTATCCAATAATTGTTGGGGTCAAGAAGAAAGGCGACGTTCTTCATCTTTCCATCTGCGAGCCTCTTCTTCCACGCAACGTTCAATCCTTCCAACCGTACACACGCTGCATCAAGATCGTCGACAGCAATACCTTTGGCAGGTCAGCTATTTCTACCGTAGAAATAATGCGAATCAACTTACAAATATGACCAAATCCTTGAGGCTGATCATTTCCATTATGTACTTTAGATATCTCATTCTCTCCGCCTTGCCATATGAGAGCGAGTAATCCTTCACGCTGTGACAAGTCTTCTGTTCCGGTGAAGGGACCGGTTGAAGGATACCCTAAAAGAAATGTCTTTGGGTATCCGTTCGCGTTTTCGAGAGTTTTGATCAGCTTCATTCCGAGATTCTCTATGTAGTAGCGAACGGATCGAGTGGCGTCAGTGACTCGCAGGCCGTATTGATTCTACATCAGTTTCACTTAGCAAAAGTCCATCATATGAGAGGCAGGTGAAGATGTACAACAATGGACAGGCCACCAGCACCAGAAGGAACACTCTTATTTGGCAAATTCTGTTCAGTGATATGGATCCAGTAGCCGTCTGGATCCAGAGCAATCACCGGCTCATTCCCAGAGGAGATAATCTGCTGGAACTTGTAGCCAGCTTTGGCCAGCGTCTGGTAAGTAGACTGCACATTCGTCACTGAGATCGAGATGTGGGAGAAGCCGAGGTAAGGGTTCTCATTACCATTGCTCACTAGATAGTTGTCATCACTCTCAGTGCCGTAGTTGTGAGTGAGCTCGATCAAGCCTTGACGATCGAAGGTGAACTTCCCATGGGACGGCGAACCTGGGCTGTCAATGCCAAGGAAGTACAGATCGAACTTATTCTCTGGAAATGAAAGCTTTTGGACAACGCTAAGTCCAAGAAGCTTGTAAAACTGAACTGTAAGAGGGCTGATAAGTAAACCCTTAAGAATTGATGAAAGGTGCCTTTACTTACTCGTAACTTTGGGATCCTTCACACGAATCCTATCGTTCTCGGAATGAGTATGCATCGGTTGAGTTAGCGGCCGCAGGAAGAACTCACATCGCATGATTCAACTTGTAAGCCCTGGTATCTGTCTTTCCTTCCATGATGCCCGCTCGAACGGTAGTTAGCGTGGCAAGGCTTGCAACCTGATCCGAGCCTCCTATCCAGGTCTTTAATACTAGAGATACATGATTGCGTGCTTGTAGATGCCATGGATATAGATATTCAGGCAACACATACCATTTTCGGTATGGTGAGTCAGGATCACCGTGGGACCAGCATGAGGGTCCCCCTTCCTAGTCAAGCACTCAGCTCATCGATCAGACCCATAGAAAGCTTTCGAACGAGTCAGGTTTAGATAGTGAGTGCCACAAGCAGCGCAAATCTGACCCTGCATGGACTGGATGCTGTTACCCCGCAAAGATCTCCAATATACCATGGTTTGTCAGGGATTCTTGGTGGATACACGAGGATGGCGCTGGTGCTTGTGATATCTTGGCAAGTTATTGAAAGGGGGTATGGAGGACATCCTTCAAATATGCAATGAGGGGCTAATCATTCGATTTGCTATTCTCCATTGCCACTCAATGCTAAATCCAAAGAAAGCAAAAGGATACGCAGAACATGTCCCATTTTATCCAAGGCAAAACAGCCATTGTTACTGGCGCTGGCAGTGGCATCAACCTTGCATTTGCTGAACAGCTTTTGAATGGCGGATGCAACGTCCTTTTCGCCGATCTCGCTCTGCGACCAGAAGCCCAGAAGCTGGTGGACGCCTATTCCGCCAGTGCCGAAAGCAAGAGTCGAGCTGTTTTCCAGCAGACTGATGTGACCAACTGGTCTCATCTCGAGCGAATGTTCGAAAGGGCAGAGGAGGAATTCGGAGACATTGACATCGTCTGCCCCGGTGCTGGAGTTTACGAACCGGTACGCACTCAAGGTCTCCTAAGTCAACTGCCACTGATACAGTAGTCAACTAGAGCTTTAGCAGCTTTTGGTATCCTCCTGGAACCCCACAGAGCAAAGATGCCCTCTACGGCGGTCGCTATGCCAGTATCGACATCAACTTGGTTCATCCTATCAGGACCACTCAATTGGCGCTGTCTCGTTTCTTGAGATACGAAAAGAAACCTCGGACGATTGTAATAATTTCGAGCACAAACGCTCAAGACACCTGTCTCTCTACAGCGATTTATGATGCGACAAAGCATGCGATTAGTGGATTCGTGCGGGCGATGGCCAAGATCGACCAAGTCGGCGTCCGTATTGCTGCAGTCGCACCAGGCATCATCAAAACGCCTCTCTTCATGGAGAACCCAGAAAAGCTTGCCATGATTGATACCAGCAAGGACGTTCTGGTCGAGCCATCCGAGGTCGCTAGTGTCATGGTTGCGTTGATTGAGAGGGACAGCATCTGCTCGACCATTGACCAAGCGAGGACTGGACCACAGGACATCGAGATCAAGAGCGGGTCTATCATTGAAGTGACAAAGAACAGAGCTCGTGTTGTCAATGCATATCACGATCCGGGTCCTTCGGGTGCTGGGGCAGTTGGGTCCAACTTTGCCACTTCGGAGTACACCACGTTGGCTTCACTGTTGACTCCAAGATGGGGAGAACCTAGTGTAAAGGCGAACAGCAATCTTTGATCAGATCACCAGAATAAATCCATTTTTAGCAGGGTCTCGACGAAATTGATCCCTATGAACACTCGTTAATGCATACATGGTCTAGTATTAGTCTCAATGAAGCTACTCTAAGTCCTGATACTGGAGCAGTTGGCACACAAGCTCAGCTGTTGTAAGTTTGTAAACAAGAGTTTTCTAATGGTAGGGTAGATCGACCAGCAGGATATCAAAGCGCACCCGACAATCCCAAGAGAGACGGCTAGGTCGGAAGCTTGATAGGCGTTCAGTGGACCGCCGAAACTCCGTGACTGCTGTGCTACGTAAAGCCACATGCGATAGGCCAAGGCATGTTGCACTCGGTCTGAGGGGAGTCGAGGCACGACGCAGCCGCAACTCCGTCTACTAAATCGTCACACGCCTCAAGATATCTTGATATCCTATCCAATTGACGCCTGTCCCCATGCGGCCAACGTAGATAAGTGGCCAAACCGTAAAGGGGTTCGCGATGCCGCTACTCCCAGCAAAGTAAGTCCAGACTGTGCCATCCTAATTGTGCCTAGTGCAACGCGTGGGTTACACCAGAGACCGCGATCTCGCATCATTCCCCCGCACGATAACGACCATCCCTGGAAAAGCTTATCTCGGCACTCTTGGCCCTGGGGGAACTCCTTGGCATTCTTATCAGCTCGCTTGCAGTCTATGAACCCTTCGTGATGGAGTTTATTTAAGATATATCCCATCGTGTTGAATTTGTTTACTGCTGAGAGCAACAAGGACTCACATAGATCAAGATTTGGCAGATATTGTCAGCTCTTTTCACCATGGCCGACCCGACTCCTCACCAGGTCACGGAAGGCCACTTGCGGCCGCGTCTGAGCAAGTTGACTATGGTTGCGATGACGTTCGCGATTCTCAAGTAAGCAGATCCACATTGCCCTTTGTGCCAAAGACTCATAAACTGACTTCTACAGCACTTGGATCGCGTTAGGCGGCACAATTGGCATAGTCATGCCGTCTGGAGGCCCAGTCGCGCTCCTGTACGGCTTCATCTTCTGCGTTGCTTGCAATTTCGCTCTAGCCTTCAGTCTTGGTGAACTTGCAGCTATCTGGCCAACAGCAGGTGGGCAGTATCATTTCGTGTACGCTCTCAGTAGTGACAGATGGAAGAGGTTCTTGGTATGTACCCTTCTACAGCCGATAACGCGACAGAAGCTAACAAACTGAAGAGTCTTTGTGCAGGATGGATCAATATTGCTGGTTGGCTCACCCTTGTAACTACCGAAGCGATCTTCTCTGGTGAGTCTTCCTTGACAAGCCAGTAGGCCCTTTCGCTAATTTGAATCAGCCATGTTTATTGCTGCCGCTATTGTCGTCGCGTCGGGGAGATCAACGCCAGTCGACTCTTGGACAACATACCTTGTCTTCCTTGCCATTATCACATTTTCGACCATCGTGAACATCTGGGGCAATTCGATCCTTGGACCTTGGAGCAATTTCGCTCGTAAGCTTTCACTTACAAAACTTTGGATGTAGCTTTCTAACATTATCACCAAGTCTACTGGTCAATTATGAGCGTAGTCATCATCAGTATCATTCTGTTATCCATGTCAGAAAAGACCAGCGCTGAATTCGTTTTTACAACTTTCAACAACGAAACAGGATGGTCAGATGGAATGGCATGGCTTCTAGGTCTACTTCAATCCGCTTTGTCACTGATTGGATTTGACGCGGTTCTACACATGACCGAAGAAATGCCTAATCCCCATCTGGATGCTCCCCTCGCAATTGTCTATGCTATTGGCGTTGGCGGTTCTACGTGAGTATTGAAAACCTGGCCAAATGATTCTGTATGAAGTGCTGACTTCAGCAGTGGCGTGATCTTCATCCTAGTGATCCTCTTCTGTCTGACTGACGTCGACACGGTTGTGAGCTCACCAACTGGTCAACCTCTGATCGCTCTTTTCGACCAAGCCACGAACAGCCGAGCAGCATCTACCATCATCAGCTGCATGCTAGGGTTGTGTTTCATCCACGGCACAAACGGATCTGTCACCACCACGAGTCGATTGATATACTCCATGGCTCGAGATAATGGCTTCTTTTTCTCGCGATATTTCAACCACATCAACCCAAAGTTGGAGGTTCCAGTTCGCACGATCATCTTCACATATATATTCAATGTGCTGTTTGGTGCCCTTTACCTAGGACCCACAGTGGCCTTTAATGCGTTCATCGCATCTTGCACGATCCTTCTGAACATATCATATGCTTTCCCAATTTTCGTTTTGATCATTCGAGGCAGAGGCATCCTCGCTCCCTATCAACACCCCCATACTCCGTGGAAGCTTGGGAACTTTTGGGGATATCTGGCGAACTGGACAGCTTGTATATATGTTTCGGTAACTTCAGTGGTATGTTGGTTCCAGCGAGGTGAAACGATCTTTAACACGGACACAGCTTTTCTGCTTCCCTCCATCGTTACATGTCACTGGAAACACCATGAGTACGTATCTTCTGTCTCTTGCAGCTAATCGTCTGCTCACATCATCACAGATTATGTTTCTGTCGTCATTGCAATCTGCTGCCTCGCCATTGCAATTTATTGGATTGCCCGTGGGAAGACCTTTGAGGGGCCTGTAAGTCTTCTTTTTCTAGAATTTTGGCCGACATATGATGTTAACTGGTGGATCAGAACCTCGAAACCATCATGGCGCAAAGAGAAGAGGTGGTTCAAGCGCCTGGCCATGGCAGACGTGGCGAGAAGGAAAACATTCAGGACCATTCGGTGTCTGCCTAGATTACTTAGAAGATTTCGCCCAATTGGCGTTCAGTAATAATCACTTTGTGTTGGGAACTGACCATCATTTGCCGTAATCTGGAGCTCCTCTCCACAAGAAGTGTAGATCGCGCAAGGTTGAGATTAGCACCTCAAACGGATTTTAGCTAAATTCTTAACTGCATGTCGACTGGTCAAAGTTGAGGTATTGCAATATAAGACTACGAGAAAAAAGGGAATAGTGCATGGAACATTGACGTCCTTACTAAGACAGTAGGTCTCCAACAACGAGAAGGTACAGGGTAGTAACCAGTCGATTTTAGGATAGGGATTTCGCGCATTTTGGGCCAATAGTTATCTTATCCTATCTCTGATAAGATAAGGTTTGTGCCACCATTGGTCTAGTGACTTACCAACTTGGCGAGATATCCATATTAAGGCAGACTACCTATTCCTCTGTGTGTGGCGAAGTTGTATGGCTAAGATATTTGTAGTACAATTCTCATATGCAGATCTTACTCGATCGATTTGTCGGAGGTGGGTTGCCTATCTCTCGAATAGTATAAATACTCTAAGTTCTCTCGGCTGATTTAAGCTCTCAGCCATAAAGCAAATACTCTATTGCATTATTGGCAGTGTAAAAATGCAGTAAGAGCAATTGACAGATTAGAAGCAAATCACGTATAACATTAAATAAAATTCCTTCCAGCTTGGTCATATTGATAGATAAGTGTCAGATAAAGATCCATTATAGTCGAGCCCCAAAATGTGGACATGTAAGCTCACAAAACAACTACTACTGCAACAAGAACTTTTACAAGACATATTCTTCCCCTAGATCTTGATTATCAAGCTTATCTTTCCCAGTATAATAGGAGGAAGTTCCCATTGACAGGACAACGTCCCTAAGGCAATGCGATCCTTCCTAGACTGTCTTGCTTGCATCTTTCGTGGCATCACCTTTGCCACGGATGATGGTGGAGAGATCGCCAAGAGGTAGCATGATGGGGAAGTCGACCGACATGAGAATAAGACACCCGAACAAATACCATCCGATCAATGATATAGCAAACAACAAACCCGCTCCGGCATGCTGGCACTTGAGCGCGAGATTCGCCTTTCCTTGTGAAACGGCGAAGAAAGCAGCGGCAAGACAAGAGACTATCACAAGGTTAATGAGTGTTGTAGAAAAGAGAGGTGGTTGGGCTTACAGCAAGGGACGAGAAGGAGGAGAATGGAGAACAGAGCGACATTTGTTCGAACACTCGCTATGGTGTAGAATGTGCATAGTATAGCCATGCCAACCAGAAAGAATGCGAAAGTCGAGTAAAATTGTGGTTGAGCGAGACCATTCGCAGCAGTACCATCAGTCGAGTATGTGCTGTACGCGCCAGAGTCAGGGTCAATAGTTGTAGTCAGGGTGATGAAGAAGCCTCCGAAGGTTAAGAAAACGGTCGACGGAAAGGTGTTTCCTAGAAGGCAGGTGTCAGCTAAGGAATCAGAACGATGAGTAGTCAATTGTTACCGAGAATCCATTCACCAATGCCTCCCAAGACTAGAAGAAGGCCACCCAGGCCGAGATACGCCCCACTGCGACCTGTTAGCTAGTGAATACAGCCAAAGGGATGGTGTGACCTACACGTTCGCAGCGGCAACAAAGCCACCAGATCCCTGCCATCCAAGCAAGCCAATGGACAGTGGCGTGGAGCACAGCAAGAATCCCGCCAAAGCTGTACTGGTAAGTATCGTATAGCCTATTAGAAACAGTGCTACATACCAACTGGAGTAGGGTTGCCAAAGGTCTTTCGAAGATCTCCCTTGACCCTATTCTGTGGCTGAAGATAAAGCTGCTCGAACAACTCTGGCGAGATGGGAATGCTCTGGGCTGTATGGACATGGTCCATCTCTTCGCCATCGCTTCGAGGCTTGCCGTTGACACTGTTACGAGGAGACATGTCAAGGTTGGTATATGAGAAGACGCGTTCGAATCCGAGCTTGGTAGGGATGGGTTATAGGAGACAGGGGAGCTCAGGCTTGATGACGAAAAATATTGAGGGGAAGCTCCAATGCTTTATAGGCTACAGCATAGCTACCAAGACAGAATAGAGTTTCCATATGCCCGGCCTCGGGGTGATGAAAAACGGCGGAGTTGTTTACACCAAGAACTGTTGATCTCCTACTAGCGCCTGTCGGTTTATTTTCCTTACCCTCTAGCCTGGGTTAAGAGTCTGGGGAAGTGGGCTCTACTTGGCTAAGGCATGCGGAGATGTTACATTGGCTTGCAGTCAGATCCATGCACAAGAGACAAGTAGGTCCAAGGCAATCTAAGATCGCCCGAAATGCCGAATCGGCCATAAAGTACCGAATAAACGCGAACTTCCGTTATCTCTGGACCATGGATAATTGGAATCCGGGCTGATGATCAACCTTGACTACTCGATACGGTGATTTACTTGACACGTTGGCTTGCAGCCATATCAATGATAAACATGGGGTTAAGATACTACGATGTACCTGAGGCTTCACTCCATCACTAGGGAGACTTTACTAGTTCTCATCAAGGAATGCTCCATGAAATTGACAGGGACCCTCAAGCACACTCCTTGGCAAGATGATGCTTGGACATCAAAGTCCAAGTCAACCGGTCGAGCGGCAGACTATATAAACTGCGCCGTGTCGATCATGGATTACACCAGCATTTTATGCCATTGTCTCAGCAGTTGGCAAAGCGTTCAAAATAGTGCGACGACCAATAACGCATTCATGAGCTGAATGCGGAGCGGAGACGGGTCCGAGCTGCGGGATCACCCCCGCACTGCAACTCAACAAGAGCCAGTCACGAGTGAATCAGTGATGGACTAGCGAGATGAGAGATCCAAAACGAAAGCATTGACATGGAGATCGTGGTACATTTGAGAATTGGTCTGGTGATTAGATAGAATAGGTTAGGTCGGTGTACAGTAGAAGACGGTGAGGGATGCGTGCCGGAGGTTGCGGATATCAAATTACCGATATCTACCTTTGATGCTAGTCAGGTGTTGTCACTACCGTGGGTAACAGTTATCCAATCTACCAATCTGATAAAAGCACGGGTGTTTATTTGCCAGATATGCTTGCACTGACGTGCGCGCTTTGACGACGAACGATACCACGTCAACGTGCGGATCGACAGATCAACTAGATCCGGCGCCTTCAGCTTTGACATGTTCCCACTCCGCGTCCTGAGTCAGTGCTTCCCCTTCGTCAGGAAGCTGCTTTTTCAGCCCCTCAAGAATACTCTTCAGGCCATCCGAGACCTTGGGATTACCGACCCTCTGAATCCTCTGTTCCAGCTCCCTGATCTTATCTTTCAACTCTTGCGTTTTGACATCAGCCAGATCAACTACCTCGGCATCTTCTTCCTCTTCCTCCTTAATGTCGTTCTTCTCTTCTTCTTGACGTTCAAGACCGTCACCCCAAGCTTCCGCAAACGCCTGCGCCATGTTGTGATCCTTGATCGCAAACACAATCTCATCAATGCATTCCCATCTCTCCTTTATCTTCGACTTATCGTGTCTCGGAGTGAGAACAGATTTCCAAGCTCTTGCGATTTCGCCAACGGGATTCCCGTGCGCGCCGCAGCCCCAGGCTCCAAGGACAAGCCTTTTGGACCTTTTGACCATGGCGATCCGCATAACGGCCCTCATCTTGGCTTGCGCCGTGTCGCGATCCTTCTTGTTGGCGTATGATGCTATTCCGTCCTCGTCAAGCTCAAATTCCGGACCGCGGATCATTGCTGCCGTGATGCAGTCGACGTAAAACCGATCATTCCTGTCCAGAAGATTCCCATCTTCATCTCTGAAGACCAATACCGTCGGAGTCCAAATCGAAGACAGTTCAGGAAGTCGATACCACTCGTCCTTGAGAGAAGGATACAGCGTAGTGCGCATGCATAATGATTCCTCTTGACTGTTGGCACCGTTTAGAAATCCTCCTCCAGGGTTCAGAGGCGAACCCATGTTCAAAATTGTCACATGAGCTCTCGTATTATCAAGATTAGCTTTAACACCAGCCGGTGTCTCAATATTAAGAAGATCTCTTGCAGCAGTAAGAGTGTCGGCTTCCCAGATTGAGATTCTTGGTATTTTAAGCTTTGCCAAATCCTCGTGGCGATCTTCAGCGCCTTGTGTAGATTTGCCCTTAGTTGCTGCATCACTCTTGTCCTCCTGTTTCTTCAAAAGCACCCCATAAGGTTCAGGCAAGACTGGGGTGTTTATAAAAGGTATGAGCTCTGCTGAATTAACTCCTTTCTGAGCACCGGGATATGCAGTGAGGAAGCCGGGGATGACCTTATTGACGGTGGCTTTGGCCTTTTTGGAGCGCGCATCTTTGCGAAAAGCCGCAGGCGGTCGGCCGATGGATGGCTCTGTGCGTCCCATAGTAGTATTCTGTCAGTCGTGAATTTCTCTGTGAGATAAACCTCGGAGCTTTGTGGTGATGGTGACTCAGTTCGAGATTATCAATTCGGGCGTCTTCAGTGGACACCCTTTTGTTGGGGACCTTGATGAGCAGCGGCCCAGATCAGCGTAAACTACCTACAAAGGTGCTTTCGGCGTAAACAAAATTTGGTGGCGGTAAAGAAGGCGAAAGACAAAATTATTTGTCAAAATGAAGCATCATGCACACGCCGTCAAATACTGCGCAGACTAGATCGTCGCCACTGATGACTGCCTGCCTGGCCTTGTCACATGATCAAGACCAAAGTCCGTCTTTCGGCCGAGACCTTGAATACGGAAAACACCAAGAAGCCGACAAACTTTAAACTCACGATACATGATACGATAATAGGAGCACGATAATCTCGATGCGAAATGATGAGATTAAAAGATGATTCATGACGTAAATTTTAGCCACGTTTCATGGCCTCAAGAAGTCAGTCTTGGCATTTGTAAAAGAGACATGGAACAGCACAACTCATACCAAGATCACATGAAGTACCACGTCTCAATATTTATAATCGCTAATTACTCTTCAGCCCAGCAACATGTGATCAGCCCTGCCAGCACATGAGTAGACCCAATTCCATTCACGATCAAGCCTCGGCCGGAGTTTTGGTAGGGAACGCACGGCAAATAGTGGACTGATTGCGATCCACAGTCGGCTTTTCTCGTATCCATTCCCCTCTACAAACTCCGTCGGACATTTTAAGCATGATTCCAACAGCCCAAGCTTCTTATCTCTAATTAACAAAACCCTTGTCTAGCACCTGTCAAAACCACGTTCCAGTGGATCCAGACAAGAATTATCGAAAATGTCGGCGCTGCGAGACTGCGATATCCCGACCCCCCGGGGAGATTATGCAGACTTCGTCATCAAGATCTAATTACGTTCCTTGATACCCGCAAGATCGAAAGGTGCTAGCCCCCCTTCTGCCCAAATCTGCATCTCACCACGCCCAAATCCGTCCTGTGACTCCGTCGTCACAGCAGAAATCACCTGTTGCTCACCCCGGCTTCGAGGCCCGCTCACCGGCGCTCCCGACGAAATGGAACCCCGATCTCGCCATATTATTATAAAGGGCTCGTCCTCCCGTCTTGGAAGTCCTTTTGAGGAATAGTATGAGCAATCATTGCAGATTCATAACAACATCATGTCTTCTAGACCAGATTTGCCAAGCTCTTGTGTGAGCGACGATGAAACACTACGACAAAAGACACCAGAGTCAAAGCCGCGACATAGCTCGTTGGTGAAACTTCTTTTTGACAGAACGAGAGTTGATCAAGCTGTCGAGAACCATAACTATCCTGGATCAGGCTCTTTCGAAGATCCTTTCGTTGTTAGTTGGATTCCTGATGATACAGGGAACCCGCTCAATTGGCCCAAGTGGTTGAAATGGACCATCACAATGGTTTCAGCCGCAACATGTTTTGCTGTCGCGTTTAGTTCTAGTGCCTATACAGGTCAGTACTATAGCCCTCACCAACCGATGCAGCTGACATGTTATATGACAGGTACCATCGTGCCGCTCATGATGCACTTCAAAGCAAGCCATACACTCATCACTGCTGGAGTCTCCCTCTACGTCCTGGGTTTCGCAGTCGGGCCTCTCCTCTGGGCACCGCTTTGCGAAATTTACGATCGGCAAATCATCTTCATTATCAGCTATGGCTGTTACGTCGTGTTCAGTGCAGCATGCACAGCAGACAATGGCGTCGCAACTCTTCTGGTCCTCCGCTTCTTCTGCGGCACCTTTGGCTCATCACCTCTGACCAATGCTGGAGGTGTTATCTCTGATATCTTTAATGCTGACGAGCGCGCTATCGCTATGGCGTTCTTTTCTTTGGCGCCTGCACTGGGACCTAGCTTGGGCCCCTTCATCGGTGGATACTTGAGTGATGGTCAAGGTTGGAGATGGGTAAGTCGAATAAGTCCTTGTTCGGAATCATACACTAACCATATTCTCCAGGTGATGGGATTGATGGCCATTGTTGCCGGCTTCTTCTGGGTACTTGACATGTGCTGCGCTCCCGAAACCTACGCACCTTTTATTCTTCAGAACCGAGCCGACTTCTTGTCCAAGAAAACTGGCAAGGTTTACATCTCCATCTATGAACATCAGGGCAAAGCCGATCCACCAGCTGTCGTCCTCAAGAAGGCCCTCATTCGTCCTTGGCAACTTCTATGCTTCGAACCCATCGTCCTTCTCCTCTCGATCTACGTCGCTATTCTCTTTGGAACTCTTTACATGCTATTCGGTGCATACCCTGTTGTCTTCCAGCTTGAGAGGGGTTGGTCTGCTGGCAAGGGAGGCTTGGCCTTCCTTGGAGTTGCTGTCGGGATGATCAGTGCAATTCCTACGATTGGCCTCATCAACATATGGTACATGAAGGTGACAAAAAGGTTCGGTAGTGAACCTGTGCCTCCTGAGTATCGTCTCCCCGGATGCATGCTCGGCGGTATCTGTGTCCCTGTTGGCATGTTCTGGTTTGCATGGTAAGTCCAGGTCCTGTTGCAGTATTTCCGTCTCCTAACAATTAACAGGACATCGTATCGTTCAGTCCATTGGATGTCCCCAGTAGCCGCTGGTGCCCCCTTCGGTCTTGGCATGTCTCTCGTTTTCCACAGCATCTTCAGCTACCTCATCGATTCGTACACCATCTACGCTGCATCAGTTTTGGCATCAAATGCTGTGCTGCGAAGCATTTTTGGCGCCGCCTTTCCTCTTTTCACTAAGCAGATGTACGACAACCTGGGAACTCAGTGGGCCAGCTGTGTACCGGCTTTCCTATCACTCGCCTGTCTACCGATGCCTTTCATCTTCTTCAAGTACGGCCCTGCTATTCGACAGCGGTGTAAATACTCGGCAAGGGCCGCACAGGCTCTGGCTATGGCAAAGAAGGGCTAGATCTTGAGGGGCTGCCAGATCGTTTCGTACTAACTTTTACTTAATACTGTGTCTTGACATCAATGGGCCAAAAGCGGCATACGGAAGGAGTTATTGAATTTTCTTAGAATAGAATATCATACCAGCCATAGATTATATAGAGTCAACTCAACTTTGTACATTTTCTCTCAATAATGCCTAACGAGGCTGCGCTTCGGGTTGCTCTCCTGCCTTACGATTGATAACGGCGTCTATTAAGCATAACAGCGGCATCATCTAAGCACATTCTTTAGAGAGTGAGTATGGATGACAACTGAATTATTCAACTATACGCTGTCTATCTAGTCTCTATACTTTAGAAGTCCTCAGCAGTCAAACCAACATCCTTCACCTTGGCTAAACGAAGAAGCTCCTGACCAATTGAGAGGTCCATGACACCGGTGCCAACACTCTTGTAAATAACAAATCCAGTTTCAAGCCACTTTCTTAGGTCATCAGGGCTCTCCGTGTTCTTCTTTTGGAATAACTGGCCAATCTCAAGCATTTTGTCTGTAGGGATCTCAGCTTTGACCAGTTCTCCAGCCTCTTGCAGACATCCTTCTCGGCTGTCGACTGCAACAGATCCACCCTGATACCCGACAGATGCAAAGGGCCCTGCCGGACTGATCACTTGCTTCAGAAGCTCAGGGTCGATTTCTTGCATGTCAAGGCGGTAAGAACCGATCGCCGCCAAATACCGGGTCTTGCTCAGGGCCTTCTCGGAAGTGAGGTATGATGCTGGGAACAAAGGTTCGGTGCTTGGTGTTGTAAAGAACAAGACGTCAGCATCTACCACCAGAGCCTCTAAAGCGGCTTCGCGGTCATTTGTAGGGTCAAAAGCCTGGAGGCTGATATGTGATGGCCATGGTGATTGAGCATTGGACTTGAGTGAGTCTATCAACTGCTGGGTCCTCTCCGCAGAGCGGTTGACAATGGTAACGGACTTGATGTCCTTCTCCTTCAACAGAAGTGCCAATCGAATGTGCCATAGAGCTTGCTTCCCCGCACCAAACACGACGATATGCTCTGTGTTACTCCTGAATCGATACGGCAGCATTGACCCCAGCGCAGTTCGGAACGCGGTGAGAGCAGCTGCATTGAGCGTTCCGATGGCTTGACCTCTAGCGTCGCACAGAGTCAAGACACTCTTGAGACCTGCTTCAGAAGGCTTGAGCTTTTCGCTTGGGGTGACACCGACGATCTTGACACCGATCAATTGGTCGGTAGTTCCGGGCATGAACAAGCTGACTTGGCCATCTCGATTGACGACGGCACGGTGAGGCTGGTATTGCTGTTCATTGTTGCATGAATATTGAATGAGGGCTTGCTCAAGAGCGTTTGCAAGATCAGCCACGTCAGATGACGATAACGTGTCGAGGATGTGGTTGACGTTGGCGTCTGAGAGTACTGTGAAAGGCATCTTTGAGGGCTATTTTGAGGGCATCGGCAACGTGAGATGGACGAAGTTACTGGTGATAAGCCGGACGAAATGAAGTTGGCGTTGGGGTTCTAATAATGCCGCTATCGGACACGGCCTCTATCGGCTCTAGCGGGGTCGAGCGGGGAAGTCAAGGCCCGATCGGGGCTGTCACTGAATCCTATCGCGAATGCTTTCCTTTCTCAATTACTCTCAAAGAAAGATGGCCCATTGTCTTATACATATGCTAGAATTATGTCTATGGAGAATCTGAATGATCGACCACTATGTATATAGTCTATCAAGTGCGCTGTCATGTTACTTTCAGGCCAGGATCCCATTGTTCCCTTTCTCGTCCCTCTCAGTGATCGAAGAATCACTCTGAGCATTTTGAACTACCTCTTTGGGCTCGCCTTCAACTGAACCCTGTCCCCTCAACCCCCGATAAACTGTCTTCAATTGAGGCCAACCATCAATGATGGGGTAGAAGCCTGCGACGAACATGGTTCCCCATACCCAGATAATGGCGATAACAATCCAAGCAACGAAAAAGCTCTTACCGAAGACATATTTGGCTGCGTACATCGGAAGAGGCCTGG